GCACCCCCGCCCTCCAGGAAGGAGCCGGCCTCTGCGCCCGGGTGAGCCCCGCACCTGTAGGAGGGCGGCCAGCTGGGTCTAGGGGAGGGTGTGCCGGGAGACGGGCCGGGCCCAGAGACCCCATCCGTCCCTGTCCCCTGTCTTCACCGCAGATTGATTTTTTTTCTTCATTTTGCAGACATTTATCGATGTAGCTTGAGTCGTGTCCTAAGCCCGGGGATAAAGCAGTGAACAAAACAGACGTGGAGCCTGCATTATATGGAGGCAGACGAAATGTACTTAATAAGTAAACTGTGTAAAGTATAGAGGTACAGAGATGGTAGAGGAGGAAATAAAGCAGGGGAAGGAGAGAGTGAGGGGGCGCTAGGACTAGCGGCCAGGATAGGGGACCCCGGGGAAGGGGGCTTGAGCTCCGGCAGGAGGGGAGGGAAGACACCCCATTGAGATGTAAATGGTGTCCAGCCAGCTCCTGAGGGTGACCTCCCTGTGGGGTCAGCGGATTCTGAAGTCCAGCCTCCCTACCATGGTTCCAGCAGGGACTACGGGTGCCCAGCTGAGAGAGGGGACTTGGGCTCAAAGACAGAAACAGAAAGAAACTTCTAGCGAAGAGGCCCCTGGACGGGTCTTGGGTCCAGGTTCCATGAGCTCCAGTGGAATTGGGCTTGTATGTCCTCGGCGGGGTTTTGTGTACTTGGGCTTTGTGTATTTCGAAGCCTTGTTCTTAGGAGTGTCAACCATTAGATTATGTCTTCTGATGAAGTGACCTGGTATCCCTTATAATGTTCTGTCTTGAGGTCTTAGCTGGGGGAGTGAGTGAGAGATCGAAGTGTGAACAGGCATCCACTCGTCTGACATCCGGCTTTCCAAACACTCGCCTGTCCACACTCCTTTCAGTGTCAGCCTGTCCTTCAGTTGGCACAATATTCTCTACCCCTCCCCATCCCCTCCTTCCTCCACATCCCACAGCCCTGGTTTATCATTTGATGATTGGCCTGGAGCCTCCATTGCTCGCAATCTCTGTCTTTTTTGGAAGGCTATGATCAATGATCATTAATAATGCAAAAGTTCTTTTTGTCTCAGTGCAAATCCCAGGCAAATAAATCACTGGCAAATAGTCAAGAGTTATCAGCAACCACACCTCAGCCTTCTCTACTCTACTCAGGCCCGGGCTCTTTTCCCCCACAGGAAATAAGAAGATAGATCCGTGGCAAATAATGGCAGGTCCCAAAATAGGCACTGCTGCCGCTGCTCCCAGGTGAACTGTCCACAGAGGAAGCAGAGGGCCCTGGTTGTGCGGCCTGAGCTCTGTGTCTACGACCAGGGTTCTAATCTGAGATCTCTCTGTTGACGAGTTCACATGGCAGAGTAGATACAGACACACCCTGGGCAGGTGTCCTTTAGGAGAAGATTCTGACACCCCAGAAGCAGCCCCGGTCGGGGATGAGCAAGGAAAGGGCGGGAGAGGGGCCCACCTCACGCCAGCTAACAATGTATAAGAATAAACGGAGGCCGTGGTGAATGACGCAGGAGAGTGAGGGGGTGGAAAAGGATGGGCCTGCTGAAGGGGGTTCACTTCGGCATCTCAGCCTCGAACCTGGGCCATGGAGGTGTGCAGCACAGACCCTGGCCCAAGGGAACTCCGCAGGTGGAAACCACGCAACGCTCAGCACAGCACAGGTGGGAAGGTGCAGGCGGAGACACAGCCCAGCTAGGCGTGGACCCTGGGAAGGGCCAACCCTGCGCCAAGCCGTGAAAAGAGAAGGGTAAGTAGGTAGCAGCTAAGAAAGAAGGGGCAGGAGAAGCAAAGTAGTCCCTTGGTAGGAGGGGCTTGTGAAGAAGTGGGAGGCTGAAGAAAAAAGTTCAGGAAGGGACACTGAAGGTCTTGGGGCTGGAAGGGAAGGAAGGGCCAGCTTATGAAGAGCCTTGAAGGCCCGACAAAGAAAAGGCACCCACAGGAGCCAGGGAAGGGAATGAACGGCTTGATTGGACCAGGCAGCCAGGCCATCCCTGGTGCCCTGAACTCTGATAGCTATGTGGGCATCACCATCAAGACCAGTGAAGTCCCCAGCATTGCCACCACTATAAAAAGATCAAAAACTCGGGGTGATTCCTGATCAGCTTTCTGTCCTCTTGGGCAACTGGCATGACTGACTTCCTGCAGCAGACTCCTAACCACGCAGTTCCCCTGCCTAAGACCGCGGCAACTCTAGCTCCTCTGTGCTGCCTTCTGAGAGGTCCCAACTCTCCCTTTCCTGGAGTTCCAGAATCCCCAATCCATTCCCTCCCAGTATTCATAGCCACCTGGCTATATTATTCTTCCATCCGGAAAGCTCTGACTTCCATCCCCCTTGGCCGGAATCCCCGTCATTTCCCCAATTTCATACCTCCTTGTCCGCAGGGACTCATCCCTTATGGTTCGCCTCGGGATCCCCTTCCTTCTCCGTGGGGTCTACCCATTCCTACTGCGTGGAAGTGTGGTGTTCTCCTGGAAGGTGGCAGCATAGTGGGGGTTAAAAGTACAGGCTCCGCAGTCGGGCTGGGTTTGACTCTTGATTTTGCTGCTCAGTGGCTTTGCAGCTCTGGACAAATCATCTCAGTTTGCTCATCTGTAGAATGATCACAAAGAAAGGGTTATGATGAAAGCCAAATTGAAATCGTGCTGTAGCTGGGAAACATGTAGGACACACACAGTCCAGTGCCTGGCACATAGCAAGCCCCGTGGTCATCTCTTGCCACTGTAATTGTAATTAGATACCCACTTTCCACAATTCTTTTGTGTCTGTCTCTCCCAATATGATGAGTTCCTGGGGGAGAGGGTTCTGGCTTATTCACCTAGATGTGCCCCATGCCTTGCCCTGGGGTTCAGACTGTAAGCATCCAACCAAAGACTGATGGATGAGTGGGTGGATGGATAAATTAATGGAAGAAGCCAGCCAGCCACAACTATTCCCTCTGCTCAGAAGTGGGAGCTGGGCTTGTCCTTTTCTGAAGAGTGGTGAAGTCCTGTGGCAGGGGACTCGTGTCTGGGGCAGGCTTAATCACCCTGACAGTCTGTGGCTTGGAGTTTCTTCAGAGGGTCACTGTCTAGACAGAGGAGACATCATGCCAGGGAGGAGCAGGGACTGCATAGGAACCGGGGAGGGCTTCCCAGGAAGCAGGTGCCCAGACTGCCTTCCTTTTCCTTTCCTTGCTTACCCATTGCTCAAGACCCATTGCTCAAGACTGGGCAAGTTTTTGATCTGTTCCCACGGGAGAAATTAGCTCATGCCTTTGACCTGGAGACCCCAGAGAAGAGTACAGCGTGGCCCCTCACCATTTAGCAACAAAGTAAAGGGCAGAGAATCCATCTCAAGGACGGGAACAGCACTGATTGAGCAGGCTTTTCCCCCAGCCACTCTGGTAACTAACACTGTGAGGAAAGCACTATTATGTACTTCCATTTTACAGATACAGAAACAAACACAGAAGTTAAATGACTTTCTCTTGCAAGGGTAGTGACAGGACCTCAATTATATCAGACTCCCCAGGAATCAGATGTCCAAATATTTTGAGCACTTTCTCCTTACACATTGCTGTGGTAAGTGCCGTAGAGGCAGCGAAGACAATTAAGATGTGATTTCTACTCTCAGAGAGTTTACAACATGAGGACAGAGGTGAGGCCTCACTTATCTTTGTATTCCCAGCGCAGGGCCTGGCAATACACTGCATGTTGCATAAAGCACAGATTGTCAGAGCTGGAAGCTTCTGGTCTTTGGAGTTCAAAGATACCAATCCTATCTGGGCATATTGGGTCACGCCTACAATCCCAGCACTTAGGCTGAGGAGGGCACTGCCGGGAGTTCAAGGACAAGGACAGGTGGGCTCCATAGTGAGTTCAAGGCTACTCTGAAGTACATAGTGAGACCCCCATCTCAAAAAAAAAAAACCAAAAAACAATCCTATTAATTTACAGATGGGGAAACTAACACTGGAAGAAGACGTTAACTGGTACAGAATGGATAGGAGTTTGGGCTCGGGAGCCAAACCTCCTGATTTGGTTCTCAGCTTTACCACTTCCCCGATGTGGAGCTGTGGGGTTGGTTACTTACCCTCTCTGAGTTTCTGTTTCCTTGTCTGAAAAAGATCAAATTGTAGGAAATGAGATTATCCCTATATGAGGTTTGGCGTGAGAGCACACAATCCCACTGCCCCTTTGCTCTGA